ATTATTATTTTATTGGATATATTATTTTATTATCAAATGTGTCTAACCATAATAAATGTATGAAATTGATATTTCTAAGAACAGTGGCGCTATCTTTTATCGCATATCGCACAGTATCTTTTGATAGCCAGACTAAGAATGAAACCGTGACCTTTCATCATTTATAAACACACGCCTCGTATTTAGAATTGTATTTAGAAACAAGTAAAATCTCTTAAATGTACCGATTTGAGAAAGTTTTGTGTATTAATTATAAGTTGTGCGAGCCTTTGTTAGCTCAGTACATTAAAATTGATTTTGTTGATATATAAGACAGAATAAATACTTGAAAAACTTCGCTTTTTATGTTGTATTATAGGTATAAGATAAGTTCAATTTTTCTTATAGCACAACACAATGTGATTCATCTAAAACAGAGTATTTTGTTTATTAAACACAAATAATTTTTACATAAAATATAGCAAATGAGAAAGTTTCTAACCTAAAACAGAGAATCGACAATTAAATGTTCATGCCTTACTCTTCTTACTACTTAACCTTTATGGTCTTCTGCACAATAAATGAATACAAAATTCACAAACTTATCTTGAAACTAAACTTCATCTATAAAATGGCTTCCTCCTATGACACAGACTCATGTCATTCATCTTACGTTTACACACAGACTACTACACTAATCCGCAGGTACTCAAATTAATGTCCATGTCATATTCAACGTCACAAAGCTTATATAGGTAATAATTGATTTAATTTTTAAATGAAAATATTACCTTGCACAGATTTCATTTTCTTTATAACGACGCAGCCCTACTACACGATTCACGCCCAGTCAATGGTTACTATTTTTACTGATAATACGGTAGTATGTCGTGATTATAGCTAATGCAACGTAATGAAATGAAACAGCAAGAAATGTACTCGATGACACTACGAAACGCAACAAGTACTCTTTACTAGTCGTAGGACTAATCAATTGATGAATCGAACGGACAACTACACACCATCATGACGCGAAATGACCACAAAATGTATAAAAACATTTATCTTTTAAAATATAAATATAAGTTTGATGGGTATGAGAGGATTGTTTACGGTAGGTATTTTTATAGTGCACCTATGCTTGAAAAATAATGGAACAACCAATAAAATATGTTACTAATTTTTTGGGATTTCATTTAAAAAAGTTGATTAGATAATAATAAAAAAATATAAAAATTACTGAATGTTTTTATAAACAACGTCTTTGTGAAGCGATATTGGAGAAAAATGTCCTTGGCGTGTTGCTTGTCATTTCATCTTAGTACAAAATCGTACTTATAACCTTTTGACTTATTCAGCCTAGAATAAATAAATGTACTCGATTTTAATTACTTTTAAATATTAAGAAAATGTATTATTCGAATCTTTTATCTTTTTTATCTTTACTTATATTATAAAGACGAAATATTTACCTAATTGTTTGTTTGCATAGAATTGGCTCCGAAACTTCTGAACGGATTATAAAAATTCTTTCACCTACGGGAAACTGCATCATACGAGGGTGGCATAGGCTATAATATACGCACGCGAAGTCGCAGAAAAGTATCCGGTTATCTATATAAATATTAATAGTATTTCAACTATTAAGTTAAAAACCTTTACCACTAATCTGTTAATCTTAAAATCAAATAAGATTCAATCCTACGTGAGCCCCTCCAAAGTTTGTTCAATCGTTCTGAAACATCCACATATACACAACCACAAGCCAAGTCGCGCCACGATAAGAGAAGACTTCTACTAACAGTTCTTTGAATAAATCGCCAGACCGATCTTATTACAAGTCGCGAGTCGTGCATCGAGGAATGTAGCAAGGTCGTGAACGTTCATCGGCCGAGGAGCGAGAAAAAAACTATTTACATGGAAGTATGTATGGGGGCGTCCATAAATTACGTGAGTGTTTTTTCAAATTTACTGACCCTCCCTCCCCCCCTGGTGAGATGTCGTGAGATTTTATTCAATCCCCTCCCCCATCCTCAAATCTCACGTGAGATTTTTCAAAAAGTGGGTTTCTTATTTAAACACGTTGGATTTTTTAATAAAAAGAAAAAAAAATTCGCTTCGTACTTTTATTTACGACTAGTTAGTACTTTTATTTGAGATTAGTAATCCATATTGCTCTCATTCATCGAGTCACACGTTCAGCTGACAGTGGCGCGAAAACAAAGGACGGGCTACATTGTACCATAAATTCAAATTAAATTGAGCTATTTGGTATAAAACGAGTATAGTGGTTTGACAATCAGGAGTGATGTATAATATCAAAGTACGAATGAAATTATTTTCTTTCCAACGAATTAGTGAATGATCTTAACCTTAGACTTGTCACTCTATGAGGGATTCCCCGCACCGAGCCTTATTTTAAAAATTGCGTGATATTTGCCGAGACCCCCCCCTTTCTCCAACGTGAGATTAGATGAGATTTGACTCGACTCCCTCCCCCCCTTAAACATCTCACGTAATTTATGGACGCCCCCTATATGAATGATAGAAATCTTGTCGAAAATTATTATAAATAAGACAAATAGCTGAGCAGCGATTAACGTTAAACACCTTCAGAAGAACCGGTCATAAGATGGGTGATCACAAATTTATTAACTGGAGCTCGTGTGATTGGAACACACGTCAAGTCATTGGTTTAGGCTGTACTTGAAGTTGTTAACATCAACTAATCCGTATTAAACGGGGAATTACACGGAAAGTAAACTTAAAACAGTAGTAAAAATTACATAAAGCATAAAAAAGAAAGGAGGGTGATAACGATAATAAACAGGTAAAATCATCAACATCCGTCAAATTATTTAAAACAATGGACAAAACAATGCGTTAGATATTGCAATATTTTAATCTTAACGATTAAAACGAAAAAATCAATAAAATTAAAAGAGATGTCTCATTTAATTTTAAATATTTTTGAATAGATTAACGTAAAAAGGTGATGATAATTTATTGGTGTGTCATGTGATGTAAAGAGACATGCATGTCTGGCAAAAGAAGACAGAAGATTAGCAGAATCCAACTGAATATAATCTTAATGCACGTACGAAATTCGTCGTTTGTACTAAACTGACGTATAGCTGCTGTGTGTTCTTGCAACTAAAGGGTAATTTTTTTCAGGTTGGTAGCACTGTTTGGTAATGGCGTCCAAACGTCGTCTGTCAAAGTGAATAGTTTTCAGTATATTCTGCCATTTCATCATGGAAAACGAACAACGATTGCAAATTGTTGAAATTTATTATAAAAATCCGTACAGCATGCGTACAGTGCGTACTGATACGTTACTTTATTTTTGCCCCAATTGGCCGAGTTGAACTTGGTTGACATGTAGTTTCATCAAGACGGTGCCACATGCCACACAGCTCTTGAAAAAATGAACATTGAAGGATGAATTTGGTGAGAAGCTTATCTCTCGAAATGGCCCTGTCAATTGGCCGCCAAGATCATGCGATTTGACGCCTCTAGATTATTTATTGTGGGGTTATGTAAAGTCGTTAGTGTATGTGGACAAACCGAACACGATTGAAGCCTTACGGGATAACATAACACGCGTCATTTGTGGAATGCAGACTGAAATGCTCAAAAAAGTGACGCAAAATTGGACCTTCTGAATGGACCATTTGAAACGGAGCCGCGGACAACATTTACATGAAGTTATCTTCAAAATATAAATGGCAAAGGCCAAGTAATCAATTTCAATAAAAATTTTGAATATGTGATGGAAATTGAGTGTTTTATTCGATTTAAAAAAAAAAACTACGCTTATGAAATCACCCTACACAATGAAATTTACACACAAGAAAATGTATTGTACAATAAAATGTCACTCAATTTAATATTCTGAACGTAACATGCCTACACATGAGGTGATTATCACAGTTTTCATAAACAATAGCACCCTCCCTCCCACAGCTAGCCGTGGTTAATTAAAATCAAGTTTATACTAGTTTGATAATACGTCGAAGTTGTACATTTTGCATATCAATGCGTCTGTTATTAATAATAAGGTGTTATGGATAACATTCACAGTGGCACACGAATTAATATTAACATATCGAACCTTTTCGATTCAATGTTTTGAAGGAATTTTAAAAACAACAATATTTGTTCAGCATTTTAAAAATTTCTTATTTTCCTTTAAATACAATAATTTTATTGAATTCAATAAATTCGTTGACAATTCGAAAATCATCTATTTCTATAACTCAATAAATTAACATTTTTATATTATTATTTGTTATAAAAACAGCCTCGAACTCGTCGTCGAACGTAGCTCTGTCACTTCACAGAGCTTTAATAAAACTTTTACTACCTTTTGTAGTACTTTTTTGTCGACTGACATTATTTGAATTGTTTTCAATAGCTGATCAAAGGGAATGCTAAAAATATTGTCATAACAATATAACTAGAACTAGTTATAATTAGAAAAAAATATAATCTTTTTATCGGTACATAAACCATTTCTTTTAACTAATAAAAAATTATCATTTCAAGATAAAATAAGATTCTTTATTCAATTGGATAACTGACTTAGTAGTGTAGTCTCATTGTTGGCATAAAAAGCAGACAATGAGACTATAACAGATCCAAAAAAAAACGACTTTTTATGACTTAAAACTAACATCATAATGATGATTTCGACAATTTGGCCTATTGATATACGACTAAAATTTGATCTGGAATTTTCCACAATAATAGAAGAGGTATTACGTTTTACCGCTAATCTACGATATGTAGTAGAATTTATGTACTGGTAAAGTGGTCATAATTATCAAATTCAATATCACTGTTATAAGATACCATGCATCTAACAAAAACAGCTTTTAGCGATACATGAATGCCAATTTGCGTTAGTATTTAGGCTAAAACAAGATTCACAAACGCCGCTGGATTAATGTACATAAAAAGAAGCAAAAGTAAATTACAAATCAGGTTAAAGTAAAATAAATGAAAACAAAATACTATACCAAAACATTTCCTAACGAGTGGGCAATTCATCAAGTACTTCCAGGGCGTATGCGGTGTTGCTTTTTTCTTCTTTCGCCCCCTATGCGAGTGGGGATGGAGGCACCGCTCAGCGGCTTTGCCGTGCTTCGTGAACATTCCGAAAACAACCTGACACTTCCATAGACCGTCACATCACTGGCACCACTTTTCAACACTAGCGCAACGGGCTACCGAACAAGCCAATCACTCACTGACACAGAGACTAGACCACTAAACCAAAGTCATCTGTAGCCATCACCGTCCGAGGCTAAATATGCCCGCGTTAACGTAACTGAAAAGAAAAAAAAAGAAAAATATAGTTTTACACCCACCCCATACAAAAAATAAATTAAAACACGGTGAAATTTCATTTTTGGTACCTGAACGTCAAGACTTTTCATTCTGGTAAATGTTAATAATAGATGGGAAGTTTCACTTTTCTATGTTTGTGCCTCATCACCAAGACAACATTAAAGAAAACATTGCGAGAGGTGGAGTTTCGCAAAAATCACATAATAACCAAATCTTGAATGTATTTTAAGGAAACAAAAACGATTATTCGCTTTACAGCAATGCGAAACAACACAACAGTCGCCTAAACGCAAAGCAATCTGTACTGTACATACATGACAGCGAAGCTTAGTCGTATCGTTTATCAGTCGTTAAACAAACATTGAGGACGGGAAAAGTAGAAGGTTACTTCTAAAGTAGGTCGTTGACACATTCGATAGTTGCTCGGCAATCAACACTGTGTACATCAGGTACGATAAAAAAAGTAATCCGAATAACTAGTGGCACAAAAAGCTTTTTTGCTTTGCGAGAAAGTGGCCTGGTAAATGTGCTCTTCGTCACAGAATCACTGTACAAAGTCTCAATGTCAATCATAGCTGCGAAAGTGAACACAATGTGTATTGAAAACGACATTAACATAACAGGTCACGACGGGTTTTTAAATTAAGCACCCGTAAAACAAGTAAATAAAAAATTCAAACATCAATTATGAAAATCTGATAGTCTACACACACGTGTTTTGTCGACTAGGATATTAAGAATATAAAATTAGTTCTAATTCTATTGCTTCGATGGGAAATCTAATGATTTATCTAAATAGCCATTTTTAACGTATTATGTGATTATATGGATACAAAATATTAGCCTTATATTTTGTATCCATATTACCGTATCGTAATCCTACAATGGACCTCGAAGCAAGTGGAACAATCGTTGACTATTTATTTTTTTATCATTATCCTCAACGTTTATTTTGTTTTGTAGAACTTTATTCTGAATACTTTGAATGTATTTTTAAATTTATCTATAAAGCTGGATTTCAAGATAAATTTCTATCCGAATTCCAAAAACAAAAATCCTCAAACTCGTGGAGGGTTCCGATTATAGATAGCATAATTTTAGCTCATTATCTGAAAGATTTACATCTTACCTTCATTTTTGTTACAAAATTCGCAGCAAAAATTAAGGTAAATAAAACACCTTCAGCAGAACGTCTTACAAACTATTCATTCTCTGTCATTGACGATTTTTCTGATAGATAAAATTTATTTAAAAAAAAAAGAAATCAATCACAGAATCACACAGGTGTAATGTCATTTGCGTAATCACCAATGTATTAGAAAGGTACGTCATAGTTTCGCATACGTAATAAGATAACGTCACGATTTTTTCCACGTGATGTTACCAGTCGCCAGAACATAAATAAATATTAATTCATTTTTAACACCGTTCCACATGCGGTCACAGAACGACTTCGGCTTAGAAGGTCAAGATTCTCGATTTGTGGATAAAATATGTAAAAAGATCGCACTTTTCTATCAAAATAATAGGCCCGCTGATAAGAAAATTATTCAATCTTGACAACCTGATATCTTCTAATATGGCCGTTGTTTAGGACAGTAACATTATAAAATTAATACAAAATATTCGTCAAGTAAAGGTTTTCCTAGTAACATTTATACAACCGTAGATCTTTCATGAATAATAAAATAAAATAAATAAAACTATTGGTCGCCTAGCGGTCGAAATTAGACTATAAAGTTTAAAAACTACTTCCTTATAATTGTTTAGCTAACAAGTGTCACACGCATGGAAGTGTGTGTATTATGTGTAATATTTTCTTTTATATAAAATAGTATTAAATTAATAGCGATTAATTATTAATAAAGGTATAAGCATTTTCTAGTTTTCCATATAAACTTATGGGGCCGAGATTAGAATGGACATTACTAACTGTGCCGATTTTCAAACTCCTTTCAATAACTATAAATATTTCAAACTACTTCAATAATTAATATATATAATCTTATAAAAATGCATTATACATAATGCAGTTTACCAGATTGCCCGCACACCCTATAGAACTTCATAATTTATCACTTACCCAGGAAGTGATCAATTAGGAAGCTCAAATCAAAAACAGATAAACAACTACCGATACAGCTTGTCATTATTCACAATGCCCTAATTCATCACCTTGTCTTTAACATACAGATGATAAGAGATTCGTATGTAAATATCCTATTAAATTACAGTAAGAAAACATAAAAAAATAATGTATTGACTTCACCCAGCTGATTCCATAATCAGAGAAACACGTGGCCTAACACATGACATACATATTAAGACTTATAATTGACTAAAAAAACAAACCTATACAATCTCATTAACATATTCAAATCAGAATATGGGTGTTTCTACCTATTGCAAGTAAGGTAAAAGAATTGTCCTAATTGAAATAAAAAAAAACACATTGAATACTACCATTAACTAACCTTTTATAAAAGCGCACATTGGAAATGAGTCGTGCGAATATTTTATATATAATGTTTATATGTTACTATGTTAAATTAATGAATTCTATAAATAGATAGATAGATTAATAATTCTTTATTGCTGACAATACACTATTTACAGAAACAAACATAAATTAAATTTAATGAATATGCAAACAATTAAAGCGATTTCTTCCAGGCAACCTTTGGATGGAGAAAGAGATAGTCATTATAACGGAGACGGGGGTGTACAGGTTAAATCACTTAAAATCACTTTGTAGCCAAAGGCTTTCACGAAGCAAATAGTTTTTTACTAATTAAACCATTTTTTTCCGCGTAGGTATAACTTTCCAGATTAGCATTACTCTACTAATAAAAACTGTATCCTAAATTTTTAAATAAAATATACTTATTCATACTATATTTTCAAGTAGCAGGCTTTAAATGTTTTGACCGTTTAACAGGTTCGTCTTTCTTTTTTTTTCAAAGAATCAACGCAAACATAAATTATATTGAGGCATTTAGTTATCTAAAGCGGCAAGATTCCGAAATTTTATAAGCCATCAAAAGCCCAAAACTGGTGATTAAAATTTGATTGTATATTTTTAAATGTCTCTAAAACGTTAAGCTGGAACTAAGAAGATTTTGTCTAGTAAATTTATTTATCTATTGATGTCAGCTACTCATTCAATTTATTAAATTTTATTCTGTAACAATTTGAAAAGATTAAAAAATGAAACTCAATCTCCTTGTTCTAACATAAAGAGAAATATGACGCAAATGCAAAAAGCATGTAATGCAAAAAGGTGTTAAATTAAAATATTTTAGTCAAAGTAACATTCTTCATTACAGAATGTAAAATACCGTTCGTCGATTAAATCAATTTTACATTAAAATTAACCGATAACTCCAGGATTGACAACATTCTCGATTTATGTGTTTTTTTGTCTAAAAAACTTACATCAATATTATTAATAATAGAATAGTTTCACTGTCAGCCGATATAAAAGAACATTTTATAAAGGTTTTTTGTAAAATTATTTTGAAATGGTTGCAAAAAGAACAGTTATTATGTCGTTTTTACCTGTGCCAAGCCTGACAGACCGCTACTATATTGGAAATAAATAAATATTTTATTTAGTCTCTCGTCTCATGGCCGCCATCTTGGTGTATTAGCAGTTATTTGTCGCGCGTCGCTTGTTAAATTTCGCTGACGGCGCGTGTTTTTCTTTAAAAGCATGTTTCTTGAGACTTTTGTGTGCAAGAAAATAAATATTATTTTCTTCTTATATTCGTAATCCATTTCACTAGCTATTTATGCAATGTATATTGAAAACAGTTTTGCCAGTGTCTGGATTATTTTTAATCTCTTGTGTATCCCTAATTTCAATTATTATTGTATCGTGTCTTTTATTACGAGGGTCAAACTGAAAGTTCTTAGAACTGGCTACTTATAAACAATATAATAAAAAAATAATTCTAAAATTTGAAAATATAACTCTTTGCCAATATTACTGAGTATATATTTCATTCATTTGTCATTTGTTTTACGATTTGGCGGCAAATTGAAAATTGTCTGTGTCACGTCATCATGAATTTAACACGAGAAAATTTTCGTGCAATGATTTTTTATGACTTTCGATGTCATTTAAGTCAACAAGAAAGTTATGATAGACTACGATTGGCCTTTCACGATGAAGCCCCATCTCGTGCGACTGTTTACAACTGGTTTAATGAGTTTAAACTTGGTCGCACTAATCTCACTGATGATTTACGTGAGGGACGGCCTTCTACGGCGACGACTGAAGATAACATCTGTGTTGTGCGGCGTATGATAGAGACTGACAAAAGAGTGACCTATCAACAGATTCGGACAAGCTTAGGCATCGGTATGAGTCAAGTGCACAAAATCCTCCACGAACATTTAGCGGTCAGGAAGCTTTGCGCCCGGTGGATACCTCATAATTTGACTGAGGCTCAAAAACTCCATCGTGTGGATTGGTGTCGTAAAATGATTGAAAGATTTAACGGAGGTGACTCAAATGCTGTGTTCGACATACTAACAGGTGACGAAAGCTGGATTTACTGTTATGATCCTAAAACCAAAAGACAATCTGCTCAGTGGGTGTTTCCTTTCGAGGAGTTGCCAACTAAAGTGAAGAGAGATCGAAGTGCGGGAAAAAAAATGGTGGCCTCGTTCTTTGGAAGGATAGGTCATTTTGCAACAATTGTGTTAGAGGATCAAAAAACAGTTTCTGCAGAATGGTACACTACCAATTGTTTGCCACTTGTCTTGGAAAAAGTTCGAGAGAAACGACCTCGCAGTAGGATCCTCCTTCACCACGACAACGCCTCGTCGCACACCGCCAAGCGAACGATCGACTATTTGGCGACATCAAACGTTGAATTACTGGGTCACCCGCCGTATAGCCCCGACCTCGCGCCTTGTGATTTTTATTTATTTCCAAAAATTAAAGAAAAACTTAAAGGAAAGCGGTTTATGAAT